AAAAAAAAAAAAAAAAAAAAAAAAAAAAAAAAAAAACTGAAAAATCTTGTGCAGGAAGAGTAACTCCAGAGAGTGTGGTTTACAGTTTTGGAACTATTCTGCTCGATCTTCTAAGCGGCAAGCATATACCTCCGAGTCACGTATGTAAATTCATTACCGTCAATTATTCGTGCAATTATTTGACTTCCAAGCCTTTAAATTAGCTTCCACTTGTAATATAAGTATGAAATATTTTTCTCTTTATTAGTTCAATAAGAGTATTGAAAATCTTACAACAATTCAAGAAAATGGAATTGTCAGTTTAAGTTTTTGCTTTTTAGGCTGTTAAAGTTTTTAGTTAGAACCGAGTTTTTTGATTATTGGTTGCTCGTGTGGTGGTTTTTGCTAGGCACTCGATCTCATTCGTGGGAAAAACTTTTTGATGTTAATGGATTCTTGTTTGGAGGGCCATTTCTCTAATGATGATGGGGCTGAGTTGGTGAGGCTCGCCACACGTTGCTTGCAATTTGAAGCACGCGAAAGGCCGAATGCCAAATCCTTACTGACTTCTCTCATATCCCTTCAGAAAGAATCTGAGGTATTAATGCTGTGATCAAATTGCTATAAATCAACTAAAATATGCCTTTTTTGTAGTCAATATAAACTTTGATTCTGTTTCTTGAGAAATTTTCTGTTCTGCCTCTTTTATTTTTACATATACACCCGATCGAAGAAGATTTCGATAATTTTTTGGGGGTCGAAAAGAATTAATTTTTTTTTTTTTTTTTTTTTTTCTTTTTTTTCATATTTAACGTTCGGGACTAGGTTCCTTCATATGTTTTACTGGGTGTGCCACAAGCTAATGCAAGTAATCAGCCATTGATGTTGACTCCACTTGGTGAAGCATGCTTAAGGATGGATCTCACAGCCATACACGAAATACTCGATAAGGCTGGGTACAAAGACGATGAAGGAATTGCTAATGAGGTTAAAACATTGAACAAAATTTCCTGGTTTCGTTTCTTGATATTATTTTCTCGAAAAAGACATATTTGCGGGTTTTTTTTTGGTGCAGTTATCTTTCCAAATGTGGACAAATCAAATGCAGGAGACTTTGAGTTCCAAGAAGCAAGGAGATGCAGCTTTTCGAGCCAAAGATTTCTCGTCCGCTATTGACTGCTATTCCCAGGTGAATTAGGCTCTATTTGGTAACCAAATAAGCTAGCTTATAGATCACTTGGTTATCTTATAAGCTTTCTGTATTTAAATAAACTTCATTTGGTAGGACGAAGTTTTTAAAAAACTTGAGTTTTTCTCAAAAGATTTTTTGGGTAGCTTTTCAAATAAGTTCGTTGAAAATTTTATTTCAGCTAGCTTATTAGCTAATTTTACCAAACACTTTTATCATATAAGCTAGCTTTTCAAACTTTTCAGCTATAAGTCATAAATTATAAGCTCGAAAATCACTTATAAGCTACAAACTAGCTTATCAGCTATCAGCTAGTTTTACCAAATATAGCCTAAGATTACTCTCCATGGATTCCTTATTCGAGCAAGTTTCTAATTTCTTTTTTATTTTTTTCTATATTTAGTTCATTGATGGTGGGACGATGGTTTCGCCAACTGTTTATGCTCGTCGTTGCCTAGCGTATTTGATGATTGATTTGCCGAACCAAGCTTTAGGAGATGCCGTGCAAGCACTTGTTATATCACCCGATTGGCCAACCGCTCTTTATCTTCAGTCGGCCTCACTCTTCATACTCGGGATGGAGAATGAGGCTCAAGAATCGCTTAAAGAGGCCACGAAATTGGAAGCGAGACGAAACATGAAATAAGAAAAAAAAAATGTATAGATTTCTCCTCATTTTTTTGATTTTCTGACTTATGTACTTAAATCTTTCAGCCATTTTCTTGTCAAAAAACCAGAGGATTGTTTCAAGTTGATTGATGATTTTCATTTGTTTTCTCTTTTTGGTATTTGTGAAACCTTCTTACAGCTTTGCCGATTTTTGTGATTGGAAATTCTTGATTGTGGACTTTTGTCCAAATAATTGCATCTCAAACATGATGCTACTCTTCTCGTGTTGGTGCAATAAATTATAATCATTTTGACTGAAGAATTTGTCCTGATAAAGGCTCATTTACGATTTAACAGTTCGATTTATGAAGCATTGAACGATAATGCATAATTATCTGGACAGTGATGAAATCTTTATACATATGTGAAGAAAATGTAAAAAAAAAGTACAATACGACTTCAATCAATATTTATTTTCTCAAAATTGAGCTCATTTAGCCCATTACAAACATAATCCATGTTAGTTCAGCCTGTAAATGACACGAACGAATATTATCCCCTTCACATTGGAGGCCGGTTGTTTCCTAGCAATTGGCCGACTAAATTTGTCACCTGCAATAAAATATGTGTCGCAGTCAAAGAAGAGCTTTGTACATAGTTCACTATGCAGAAAGAAATGGCTAACATAATTTGGAAAACCATCAAAACTAGTCCATTTCTGATAATCAGAAAGGTTCAGTGAATGTGAGAACTTGAAAATTTACGTTCTCCAGAGACTATTTTAAATATATACAATAAAGGGTATTTCTTCATGATAGTGGATTAATGATCACATGTACACATCTTTTGGAAAGAGAATATCAGCACTAGACAAGTTAAACTCCAAAGAGATTTTAAGATGAGGATAAACCTTCTCAGATTTATGGAAGTCAATGACAAGCGGACTATTAAGTCAAATAAATTAAGAAGTAAAAACTTCCAGTTTTTTCCCCAGTAAATTAAAACTCCCCAATATGACATTAACTTGATGAAACTTAAGCAACAATAATTACATCTTTGATTTTGGTTTTGCTACGAATTACATATCAACGTTTCGAACAGGTAATTTTATACCACACCCACGATTAACTTTCTTAATATATAAAATAGAAGATATGTGCACAAGCAGGAAATTCATTCACCCATACATTAAAAACAATCGCAAAAAACAAACTAATTACCTGCCAATACTTTGAAACACACCGATCGATGCACTTGTTTTCGCCCATGTTCAGTTCAGATTCTTTGTATCTAAAAACACAAGAAATTTTCAATGCCCTTCAATCACGTGCTTAAAATGTATTTAACTAAAAGAAAAATCTAAATAAAACAAACTGGAACATTTCAAGAAGCAATATGTATGTATTTTCAATACATACTTTTGCTCGACACATTTCTTGAAACACGTCTGGGTAAGCCTGAAGAAGAACAAAGGTACCATCATCAGCAAAATATCCAAGTAAGAAAGTGAAGAAAGATGGCTAAGAAAATTTTTCCCGCATTCTACATTCAAACCGAGGACAAGCAACGACAATCAGCAAATGGTAAATAGAATTCTTACAACATTCTACATTCAAACCGAGGACAAGCAACGGTAATCAGCAAAGGGCAAATTGAATTCTATGTTCAAACCGAGGATAAGCAACGACAATCAGCAAATGGCAAATATATTTCTTACATNGGGGCATTTTAACAAACAAAAAGAGAGCGGCTTACTTGTTAAACATATCCACCCTATACTCCATCTCCTTCTCCATCATCCCCAAAAGCTGCACAAAAAATAAAAAAAAAAAGGACAAAACCCTAAAACCCCCAATCCTTAGATCCTATTGCACAAAATTGCGCAACAATTTTCTTTTATGCAAGCCAGTGTAAGGTAGTAAGAAAAAAGTACCTGTTCTCGCTCGAAAGCAGAGGGTGCATTGGGTTTAGCCATTAGAGATCGACAACGTGAGCTTCAGTAATCAAAGGCAATTCCTTTCCAGATGAAACTTGCAGCTCAAAGAGAACTTCAATTGTAAGGAAAATGGCGAACGGGTTTAGCAGAAAAATGTTTGTTCAGAGTCTAAAACCCTAAACAGCGGAGGGACTATACCAAACGGGGTCCTATGGAGTATTTTCCGGTGCGAACAATGATATTGTAGTCCCGTGTACCGCATATAGTCTCATAAAGGCAAAATGGCAAATAACAAACTTGTCCCAAACCAAATTACAAACTAAAAGGAAAATTGCTTCTATTTTCCGGTTTTTTTACTTAAAAAAAATAAGAAAAAATAAAGTGGACAAGAACAAAACAAAACAAAAAAATTGTGGAAATAAATAAAAAGCACGTATTTTGAGAATACATTTTTTTTGTAATTTTCTTGACTTTGGTCCAATTTTTTTTTTTACTTTTTTTTGTGTCCACTTGTGTTTTTTTTGTTTTTTTATATATAAATTTCCCTCTATTTTCCCCCTAAACATTAAAAGAGATTATCAAATTGGTTTGGTTTGATTAATTTTGAAAAAGATGGTATGGTTAATTGTTAGTGGGTACATTAAAATAATATTTAAAATAAAATAATTAAAAATTTGATCTGATAGTTAGTTAAAATATTGTGAGTGGATGAATAATGAATTGAAGTTGATGTGGTGTGTATGAATGATTGAATGATATTAATTATTTATATTGATAATATTGATGATATTGAGGTTGAGTTAAAGTTTAGTTAAAAAAGTTGGTTGAGTTAAAATGTTGAATTTTTTATTTTTATTTTTAGATTTCTTGTATACAAACATGTCCTAAGCGATTTGGAGATGAAACAATCAACTTTTCAAAAAAGTAAAAATAAAAATAAATAAATCGGATTAAATTGCAGATTAAAATCAAAGCAATTGTTTTGGTTCTCAATTTAATCCCAACATTTTAATTTTGAAAATATAAGATATGAGTTTTTTCAGTTTTTCTGAACGTGTCTTGCTCGTAATCTGGACATGCAAAACCAACTTTTCCAAAAAAAATTCAGATTAAATTGTAGCTTAAATACAACATTTGTTTTGTTTCTCAATTGAATTCCAACATTTTAATTTTGAAAAAATATAAGATATGAGTGTTTCAGTTTTACTGAACGTTTCTGGCTCGTAATCTGAACGTAAATATAGGGAAAGACAACATGTCAAAAATTAAAATAATTAATTCGCATTATTTTTATTTTTGAAAAAAATAGAAGAAAATACAGTTCAATTTACTCCAAATTTGCGAAGCCAATAAAGCCTTACATTAATCAATTGAGCCCATATAGAAATATTGAAAATTCAATTGGGATCAATTTAGCATTCAAGTAGTAAGTGTTGTTAAATTAAACGAGTTTTGTTTAGCTCGGCTCGTTTGATAAACGAGCCAAGTTCAAGCTCATTTAAAGTTTATTTGATTAACGAGCTCTGCTCGATAAGGAGGCTCAAAAAGAATTTTTTTTATATAATTTTTTATAGTCCGACTTGTTAAAGTTCGAGGTCGGCTTATTAAAGCTTGAACTCGACTCATTATTAGTGATAAAAGAGTCAAGCTCGAGAACCCTAAGCTTGAGCTCGAGCTCGACTCAGCTCGTTTACAGGTCTAACAAGCAAGAAAACTTGGAAAATCTCGCCTAAGTGAAGAAGTACCAACTACCAATCTCAATAATCTCATAATTGCAATGTTTTTCCATAATTAATCAGAAAAAATCCTAACAATAAATATTAAATAAATACTACAGCTAAACCCCCATCAAATGCACACTTCAAATCCTTCCTGTTTTTTTTCCCCCTAAGCTTATATCAACTTATATAAGCTGCAGTATTTTTTTTTTTTTGCATCAATCACATTTTAGTATTTTACATATTTCAGAAAGTAACTCTCTCTCTATGAAGGGATGTTGAAGTGGAAAAGCCAAGATATGATGAAAGCAAACACCATACAAGCCAGAAGGAAGTTTAGAAACCGGTGGCCATTCAAGCACGTTCGGGTCTCGGCTGCCGATGCTGCTGCCGTGGGGCCCACAGGCGTACTCGGAATGACCAAAATGCCCTCGCCGGCTTGCTGACCGGCCTCCGTGTCGTTGGGGCCCACCACATTTCGAGCTATCGAATTGCAGATTTCGCAAGTCCTGCAAAAATGGAAAAAAAAAAGTGAAAATGGCCTTAAAGAAAAAAAAAAACAAATTTTCGCAGCTGATTCAAAAACAATGGAAATTTATCATGTTTCTCGAATAGTAATCGTGATCTTCATCTTTTCCTACCTAAAAGCACAATTTAAGGCTTCAATACAACAGCAAACTAAATCAGAATAAGGTTCGAATAGAAATAAGGTTCGACAAACATAAGGTTCAAATCAGAATAAGGTTGCTACTTACCAGTTACCATTCCCATATCAAAATATCTATAATTTGACTCAATAAAGTGATGATTTTTATTTTTTTTTTTTNTCAGTTACCATTCCCATATCAAAATATCTATAATTTGACTCAATAAAGTGATGATTTTTATTTTTTTATTTTTTTTGGGTATCCAAAGATGATCGTTGAAACCCGTTTGAGTTTGAGGATCCGCATAAAGTAATCGGGAAAAAATATCGTGCCTCTAATGGGTGTCAAAATCACCACTTTTAATAAAGAAGAAAAGAAAAGATTCTTCTCAAGGATGAACGAGCAGCTAAAAACACACTGAATCGATGTTACATAAAGCCATTGACTATGCAATTAGACGTAAAACTATAAAAGCTATTAGCTTTGTTGCTGCTCACCCTTTTGCTTTACTTTTTATCACTCTGCATTTTGATAATGGCAAAGTTTAAATCTCTTTTCCAGTAACTCCATAGTTCTTAAGAGCCTAAAAATCTGTATATTACACCAATATTATACAGTTTTAAATATTTTCTTTCAACCAAAAGAGTAGCAATAATCACCAACACACTTTCATAGTTCAATGGTATATAACATAAGGCACATATAAAGAATCATCAACACCCACCAAAGTTAACTAAATGAGACCTTAAAAATCAGTTTTACTAAATGCCTCACAAACATCGAATTTTACCACAAAGGCACAAACCACACCAACAATTCGAAGAAGAAAACATCCACACCAACACACAAATACCAAATACACATAAAGACATGAAATTCAAGATAAATTCAAGATTCCTTTTTTTTATTTTTATTTTTCTTGTATGCTGCAAATGATATACAGCTTTCAATATTTCCTTTCAACCAAAGGAATAGATTAGTGTGTGAAAAGACAAACCAAGCATATCATTACTTCAATGGAATATAACAAAGGCCAATTATAAGGAATATCAACACCCACCATAGTTTAACTAAATGAGACCTTACAAAAATCAATTTTACTAAATCCCTTACAAACATCAAATTTCCCCACAAAGGTACAAACCACACTAACAATTCGAAGAAGAAAACATCTACACCCACACACAAATACCAAATACACATAAAGAAATGAAATTCAAGATTCTTCTTCTTTTTTTTCAATGTCCCCATTTAGATAACTTACTTGTTTCCTTTGATTTTGAACCAAGTCTCAGCACAATGCTTGTGGGCAGCAGCTAAATCGTCCTTACAGGAACAGCCCAGCTCAATGGGCAAACCAGAACTAGGGCTGCTACTAATGAGACTCAAATGGCAAATCCTGCAATCTCTCTCTAAATTACTCAAATTTTCCTTTTTCTCACCACACTCTAAATCCACAGACTCAAATTCTCCTTTTTCTCCTTTTTCCAAAGCATCGTCTTCCAAAATCTCGGACCGACCCGCAAAGCTGTAATCATCGTATGACCCGTCACCGTCGATGGTGGAGTAGAACTGGGAATTTGAAGACCCGTCGGAAAAGCATACACTGCCCAATTCCTCCTCCTCCTCCTCCTCACCGGCAGCGCGCCGAGCTCCGGCGGAGCTCCGGCGGCCGCATTCTAAATCTATGTGGGTTATTTCTAAAGCAGCCATTTTTTATGGAGGCCCAGAAGCGGAAAATATCGTCTAGAAGGGTCGATAGTGAGGAAAAGGCCTTCAAGATGAAATCTTTAAAGAACCCATTTGGTAAATAAAAAAAAAGGAAGAAAAAAGAAAAGGAAACACCGTTAAGGGCTGCAAATGTGAATCTTGAGAGATCCCATGTTAGAGTTTCGACATGTTAAAGTTCAAGACTCAATCTTTTTGTCTATTGATGAACAGATTTAGTACAATGTGGGATCTGCGAGATTGGATTAGGTGAACTCTCCAGCTTCCCATAGCTGCTCTGCAACTGAAAGTGACGCTTTGTTTATTTTTCGCAGACAGAAAATTGTGAATAGCAGATAAAATACAGGAGAGAGTTCAAGGAGGAAAAGAACAAAGGAAAATAATTTGTGGGGTAAAAGAGAAAAAAAATAGAACAAGGAATTGCTTTAGCTGAGGGTTTGTTTTGGAAACTCCAAATACAGAAGACTTCACATTGTCGTTATTTACATAACTAATTATTGATAGAAAACAAAAGTAATAAATCTCAACAAAGCAAAAAGAAAGATGTGAAAGACTATTACTGCTATTAAACTAAACAAGTCACTCTTGAGTTCGTCTTGTAAAAATTTTGATACATGGTCGAATTCGAGCTTTTTTAATTTTTATTTAATCTATATATATATAATAAGAATTAACATTTACCATAAATAGTAGTAAGAAAAAGTCAACCACATTTATTATATACTATTTTCAGCAACTTTTATATTTTACATTTTAATTTTAATTCATTATCAAAAAATTGGATGGTTTCTAAATTAATGGGTTTTAAATGCACGTATCATGTTTTAAAAATTATAAATCATTTAAAATCAGAGGGTTCATAAATTAATGGTTACAAACTTTTCAAAGTTGTAATCTTTATGACATCTTTTCTTTTTGACTTTTAATAATAAAATTATTTTAAATATATATATTCTAATCCAAAAATTCAATCATATTAAATATATATATATATATATTGAACGCTAAAAATATTTTTTAAATTGCATACCCAATCAATTAATCTTAATTTTTTTTAAAATTACTATGTTTATTTTTTATTAATATGCATAAAATAAAAATAAATAGTTCATCTTTGGATATATAATTTATAATCTTAATATACTATCATTTGGTGTAGACATATGAATCATAAAATATTTTTATTTCATAAAATTAAATATTATATTTAAAGAAAATAAGGAAATTACTTTGGATCAATCGGGTGATTGAATTAGGGTACTGCCCACTTTGATTGAATTACTTTTAGGTGATATTTAAAATAGTCAAAAAACTTGACATAACTTGGTTGGTCCGAGGTAATTAAGTTATGTATCAGTTTGACCAGACCAAATTGATTATTGAACCTAAATATAAATTTTAATATTGAAAATACTTTATTACGTGAATGTGATGTAATCCAAACTTCAAATAATCATATTAACAATACTTTTATGACAACATGATTAATAATTTATGAATATTTATATATCATTTTATTATTATTTATGTGAACAAAATATTTATTTCATTATCATTTTTATTAATGTACGGTAAATATAAGGTTTTCAGAATCGGACCGTCTTGTGGTTGTTCAGATTTTAATACATAATACTTTAATATATATATTTATATATATATATATATATATATATATAGTACTTTTTGTAATAAATTTAAATAAAAAGTGTTACTTAAATATCTAAACAATTTATAAATTCAAATGTTTAAACTAATTGATAAATAATTTATAAATCTCTGTTTTATTTAAATATGTAATTTTATTTAATAATTTTTCATGTAACAAAATTTGTTTAGAAAATTGTATCGATCTTACCAGTCCAACATACTGGTGTTGGCGGATTCGATAGCAAATATTTTATTCAAACGCACTAAATCGGTTATAAATCGGTTCTCAGTCCATCCGGTAGGACTGTGTCCAACCCGGTTTAAGTTATAAATAATGGGTAAATCATGATTAATGTTATTTATTTATTTAATTTATAATACAATCAAAATATTATTTTCCCGTGCATCGCACGGGCTACGTACTAGTTTTTATAATTTAACTTGTCAAAGATCGAATTCGATTCATTAATATTGATAAAAGATAAGGAAATTTAAGAGAAATGGAATGTGAAATGGTTTGCAATTGCAAGTAAAGAAAGAACAAGATTACAGGGCGAATAAAGCTTAAAAAAAGAAAAGAATTATATTCAAATAGAAAGATGAAATTATGGATTTGTATAATATGCTTGTTTGGAACCTAATTACCTTGAATAATACTATTAGGGTATCTATGAAAAGGAGTAGCATTAAATCTAACACAAAGATTATGCCTGAATCTTTGCCTTTTTTTCTTTGGATGCTTGTATTCTTATTAGCCTTACAATTATGAACGATTATTTATCATTATTAGCACCTTTTAATGTGCTTTACTCCTTTGTCTCCTTTACTCTGTTTACAAGGCAAGTTCAATGTTTTTGGCGAGATGGAATCTTATAGATAAATCAAGTTTTATAAAAAAGCTTGATGTTACAGTCTAATTCTTAGCAAGTCATTTTCTTTTTTCTATTTATATACTTTAGTAGGAAATTAGGACGATGAAATCCACCTAACAATTAATAACTCATACTTTCTCACTAAAATTGTATACTTATACAAATATCATACTATATGCTGTAGATTATGATATTTGAGTATCAATGTATTTACATTTTATGAAAAAATTTTAATTGTCTAATCATTAGGTATTCTGTGAGATGTATGGAAGTTAGATATGGTTGTCCAAAACTATTTGGTCTTAATAATGTATGAAACTTTCATAAAATCATAAACCTTATAAAAATATCTAGTGACCACGAGATTTTTGTAAGGAATTATTATAATCTTAGGTTTATCCAGATACACAGTATTAACCAGCACTCATTTTAACTTTGAATGAAGCCAAAGACAAAAAATATATTATATTAATCTTCAGCTGCTGATTGTGTGTTGTCTATGTTGGAAATATTTATTTATTATATAATTCACGGTGTGGACCAGTAAAAAAGAGGTGTGGAAGAAGTAAATCTTGCCGGAGGACCGAACATTGACCGGAGCAGTGGTAGACCACTTCGGATTCTCGTCTGACATCAGTCAGCCTTTTGCGTGTACATAAACACAAGCACTAGTTCTAAAAAAACCACATTTAAATAATAATAATAATAATAATAATAATAATAATAATAATAATAATAATAATAATAATAATAATAGTATGTGGATTAAATTTAACAATTGATCAAATTTCATCGAGCCTGTAATTTTGATGACATTATATATATGGTTAGTAGATATACTAAACTCAAAAGAATCGAACTCGATCGAGCACATTTAGTTAACGAGCCGAGTTGAGACTTCAAAACAACAATTTTTAATATAATTTTCTATAAATTTCGAATTCATTTTTTTGAGAATCAAACGCGACGTAAAGATCCTTAAAAAATAAATAAACCATAATACCAACAGCCTTCAGAACATGGAAAGTGACAACAGTTTCCAATTTTACAAGTCAAAAGTTCAAAAAAAAGCCTCTATATAATGCGGAGCATTTTCTTTTAAAACTTTCACATAACTTCCACTTCACAACTCACAATCAATTTTTCAGACCCATAAACCCGATAAATCCAAGTCGAATAATCGAACCATTTCACAAACGAGCCGGGTCATCTAAATCATAGTAAAAAATCGAACCATATCACAAACGAGCCAAACGAGCCGGGTCTGATAATACCAATTCTATCACCAACAAATCCACAATATTGACATTTTCTTGCCCAAGACAAAAAATAGCAATTATAGGAAGCGAAAAGTAAAGAAAAAGATTTGAACTTTCACATGGGTTTGTCAGTTTTTGTGCTTACCGTTCACAAAACTGAAGTACAGCAGTGGTCCAAACTCCAAACAAAAAGATCCCAGAAGTAAAGTGAACATGATCCTGTATACATTGTGGGGGTTTTTTCTCACAGTATTCCATTTATACATATTACAGAAGGACCCAAACAGAGCCTAAAGATCTGGACAGTTCATTAAAACTATACTTCATTATCTCAAGATTATAAAGTTTTCATCTTTTTTCCACAAACATTTTAATCTATAATTATGGAGCCAAAATGGGTTACCAAGAGGTCAAGAGCCAGTAAGCAAGAAAAAAAAAAACAACATAATTCAGTCAGTTAATATTACAGAACAAAAATAATCACCATTTTTATGTTCTACAAACATATTTTCTGAGCAAGACCATGATATCGGCTAACAAAGGTTGCGCAATCTTTTTATCATAACAACTTCGCCATTCAAGAAAACAAGCACTATAAAACACCAATCACATAATTTCAGTCCTAAGAGTTTTAAAGTAACCGAAAAAATTTATCAAAAATTCATTTTGAATTTCGATTCATGCACGCGCACCTGTTAGATCACGGTAGATGATTGTTAACTCGTCCACTCGTTAACTCGCTCTTTCCCATTTCAAAGCTCGACTGATCATTTTCCCCACTGCATTCCAAATGTCCCGTTTGCTGATTACCCCCAATTGCTTCAATGCTGCTGCTTTCCAATTCCAACCCACTTTCACCAGGCAATATTGCTTATATCGGCTGCTAATGCAGCCAGTTCATGGCTCATGCAAAATCGAGACTGTATAGTCAACAAAATCAGGCCCGAGCAACGATTTGACCTCCGAAAAAGCTTCCCAGCTGCCATGACCACATTTGTAAGGGATTAATAACTCATTGTAGCCTTCTTTGATTAATTTAAAGATTCCCAGTTTCGGTTTTGAGGTTTGGACAAAGGGGGTTTGAACGGGACCCACCTCAAATTGATTATAAACGGTAAAGGCACTGACCTGAGCAACGGGACGTATCAGAGTAGGAGGCACTATAGGCTTTTCTTGATGATTTTTATCACCATTTATTACTTGTTCTAAAGAGGTGACATCATTTCCTTCACTGGACTTGAAAGAGTTTGCATTTTCATCTCCACACGACAGAGTTTCTTCGGAAGATGCCTTTGACTTCTCGACACTTTCCTCGTTACTGATTTCTGATTTGGATCTTTGAAGGTTCATTCCTCTACGTCTCAATGTCGAGTTCCAGTGGTTTTTTATGGCGTTTATCTGTTCTCCCGGGCAATAGCTTTGCTATCAATGCCCATTTATTACCATGGATGGCGTGAGCTTGAAGTATGATACGGTCTTCTTCATCTGCAACAAAGTTGAAATTAGGATTAACTTTGCTTTTTGTTCTTTTCTTTAGCTTCTCCTGAACTTAATAATGAATGGTGAAAAACTGGAAAAAGTTTTCAGGAGATGCTTAACAATCAGTAACAATAAGTTCATTTGAGCTCAAACAACAAACGAGAAGAAGTTAGCCGAAAGTCTAAAAACTAGACAATTCACCTCCTTCATGATCAACATACTCATATCCCCCCAAAAGCCGAAAGGACTTGCATGTTTTTCTAGGCTAGAAAACTACATATAAACTAATTACTCAATGAGTAATGCTATAGAGCCCACTTGCTAAAACCTAAAAACATACCCACATGCATGCCCCAATTGCTAAAACCTAAAAACATTAATTTGCATCCCCATTTTGCTCCTGAATTTAAGTTTTCACCAAATTTCACCCAATCTTTTGCACGGAAAAAAGAACACAATCCTCAATGCTAAAAATATTTCTAAAGAATATGAAAACAATTAAGTCCATAGCCAGCAAAACCAAATGAAATTGTTCAATTACCCGTGGGCTTGCGTTTAACGGCGTGATCGAGCTGATTACACCACCGTAGGCGGCACGATTTTCCGGATCGGCCGGGAATTCCTCGCGCAATGAGGCTCCAATTCCGGGCGCCGAAGCTGCTCACGAGTTGACTCAGCATCACGTCCTCGTCCGGCGACCACGGCCCTCTGACTCGGTCTAGCGATCTCTTGCTCGCTCGTCCGTCTCCATCCGCTAACGCCGCCTCGCAGTCTTCTCCGGCGCCGCCGTCGCCGCAAACCTCAGCTGACTGGAAGTCAATTTCCATTCAATTTGTCTTTTTTTCTTTCCATTCAAACTGTCGGGTGTTATTTTTTTTTTTTAAATGTAATCTCTGCTGACGTATGAATAAAAGTCCGTAACGATCATAAAAAGGCCGATTGTTACCATTTGTTTTGGTTATCTCAATAATAAATTGGGCCAAATGATTCATTACATTATTAGGCTCCCTAACTTTGGTAAATTAGTTGGGCCTGGAGCTTATCATATCAATACACCAGCATTCGGACTTACATTCATAAATAAACAAAGTTTTATATTTTATATAATATATTAGAATTTATGTAATCCCCTATCTATATATAATTTCAAATGGGTTGAGCTTACGTGACAAACTCTCACGCTTCGTAATTCTATTTGGCAAAAAATCATGCTTTGGGATTAGACTTGGATATAAATTAATATTTTTTATCACACTAAATCCATAATTGATTTTTTCCTTATTTATTTTACAATTAGTTACCATAAATTATTATATTTTTTTTCCTACATTAATATACATTACATTTCATTTTCTTATTTAATTCATTCATTAGTTATTATAAATGTTTCTTCTTCTTATTTTAAGATTTTATAAATTTTTTGTTTGTATTTTATTTTTTATATATGATATATCAAATTAAGTATATTTTAACGATTTTAGATGTGACATCCATATAATATATACAATAAAAAATAGTAATATATATTCTTATAAATAAATTTTAAGTTTATTTATCAAACTAAATTAAAAGATATCAAATAAAACTATAAATTACATTATAAAGTAATAGAAATTGGTCTGTGTTCTTGTAAAAATAATATATATTTAAAATTTAATTGGTATGTTATCAATCTAATAAAAATAAATAATTATTTATCTAAATTCTAAAATTACATATAAAATTTAAAAACTATAAAGCACGACGGATACGACAATTGATGTATTAGACATCTAATTAAGTAAAAAATTAATCTATTTTGCTTAATATTAGACAAACATATTTCGCACTTATGCATATGCATATCACAATATTATTTCTATTTATTTAATAGTAAATAATATTGATAATTTTATATGATATAAGTAAAAAAGTTCAATATGAGTTGACATTTTTATTTAATATACGGGTGTTTAATTATTATGATTAAAAATGTATAATGTGACATTTTAATTAAAACCCAAAGTAATGTTTTATATAAAATTAAATTATTTTTTCTAATAAAGTAAAAAATTAATCTATTTTCTTAATATTAAACAAACATATTCTGCACTTATGCATATGCATATCACCATATTATTTCTATTTATTTAATAGTAAATAATATCGATAATTTTATATGATATAAGTAAAAAAAATCAATATGAATTGACATTTTTATTTAATATACAGGTGTTTAATTATGATTAAAAAAATATAATTTGTCAATTTAATTAAAACTCAAAGTAATGTTTTATATAAAATTAAATTATTTTAGTTTAAAAAAAATAATTTTTACATATGTTTCCTAATTCAACACCCGTATACTTACACGGGTATTGTACTAGTTATTATTATTAAAGAATCAAATGTTCAATAGGTACAAATCAAATATTGGTGTATTTGGATTCGGTTTAATTTCAATTCCAATACACTATTTTTATTTGACTTTGAATTTAATTTTCACGAATACAATTATATAAATCACAATTACAAAATGCGAATTTTACGGAAAAATTAATAGCAAGTGAAATGTTACGAACAATTTCAGCAAGTGAAAGCTACACCGACACGCTTGAAAATCTAGTAATTTGCTTGTACGCAATTCTTTAAGTCATACAAAATTAAAGGTTTGACACGATAAATCATTCAAATCAAAAGTCAAATTACTATCTAAAAGTAGTTGTTAATGGGGTACATAGAATATAAATTACACGGTCTGAAAGTTTGTTAAGCTTTCTGTTTCTAAAGAAAAATCAGAAACAAATTAATGAAAGAGAAGTTTGACATAAAAAATATTTTCACGAAAGAAGTTCTAAAAGACTCGACTTTTTTACTTATTATTACAGCGTTAGTTAAACTTTTGAAGTACTTTGTCAATGGTCCATAACTAAACTTATTGTAAATTTAGCATATTCAACGTGTTAGAGATTTGACTCGTTAAATACATTAAATAATTTATTTGATAAATAGATTATCTGAATTAGAGATTTATTGACTCGTTAAATACAATAAATAAATTTAGTATATTGAACGTAGAATACGTTGATGTTGCGAATCGCTACTTAATTACGAGACGACTATTTACAAATCGCTAATACAATCTACTAATCGAATCAAATATTACAATCTATTATCACCGTATATGGAAAATATATGCAACCTCACTTCATGAACCCATAAGACTCGTTAAAACGAGTTTAGGCAACGACCCAATTCTAAGATTTAACAAAATGAATCGGGCTGACCCATATATTTAGAAATGCAAATGAGTCAAGCTGAGTTGTTGAGCATTGATGATCTTACTAAACCATGCTCGATTAATATGACACCTGCTCGAGCCCAAAATCAATTTCAAAATTTTTGAGCTCGGTCAAACTTGAGCTCGAGTTGACTTGTTAGCCGCTCGACTAATTTGCAACCCTACATACTAAAGTCATCGTTTTGAAGGCCCACCAACCCGTTACTATTATTTCATAATAAGTGTTTCGCTAACCATTGATTAGTGAATACATTTTTCTACTAAGAAAAAAATTATATTTCAAATCACTATATTTAGACAATGATGTAAGAGCTAAGATCTATAGTTTAATACAAAATTGTTACAACGTTAACCTAACTTTTAACGAACAAGACAATCCCCAAAAGTTTCCATTTAGACTATGGATTCGTATTGATGTACTTATGAGAGCTATATTAAATATTATAAATTAGTATATTCGTTATGTAACTGCCAATTCTATCGGTGTCATTGTTTTGGAGTCCATATATGACAAAAAAAATTGACATTTTTGTTTTAGGTTTACAAATTACAACTACTTAAATTAATGGCTTTAACCTATAAGCTATTTTGAAGTGATTAGTTAATTAATGATACTTGGAAAACCACATGTTGTATATGTGATCACTTAATTATTATTGTAATATTCAAACGGTAGTTTTTTTTGTTAGTCTGTCTAATGGTAAGACAATTATAACATATGTGATCACTTAATTATTGTATATGTGACCACTTAATTATTATACTTAGATATCGTACTTTAAAGTATGATATAGACAAAAGTATAACATTTTATAACATATATATTTTGGAAAAAAAAAAGAAGAAGACAAATACGATGAACGAATGGTTAATTAGCCTAACAATATTTGTGATCTTAAAAAAAAGTATGATTAACTTCTGGAAATTTGACAAACATGTATTGATATTCGCTTTAATGTATTTACTAATTAAGATTAGTCAGCAATAGGAAAGGGAGGTAGAATTAGTTGGCCTGCATGTATGATCCAGTTCAAACTAGCTAGTTATACCTTCCTCATATATCAAAAATTCATTTTTTATCCAAATAAAAATTAAATGTGCTAATTTTTTTTAACTAATTGTTGAATTATTGAAATAAATTAAATATGTTACTTATATAAAGATAATGGTCCAATTGCAATCTTGAGTATTGAAAAGTGAAGGGCCCATTAATTCAGGAAGACTAATAAGATGTAATGGCAAGATAATGATAATTTTGGGATAGATATATATAAATATTATATTCTGTAAAAAACATAAAAATTATAGTATTTCACTATTTCATAACATAAATAAGCATTTTTATTTAAGAAAATAAAATAAAACTGTACAATCCGCCTAAAATAGCCGCGCGTCAAATAAGAATTTGTGCTAATACTAATATCATTTGTCAAATTCCAGCTCTCTATACTCTGCGTATATATTAATTAGAAAAAGACTATAA